GGGGGGGGTGTGTCACCCCAAACCCTCCCTCCCCAGAGGGGCTCCAGGGACCCTGCAGGACCCTGCAGCCTCGGCCCAGCCCTGAGGGCAGCGGCACCCCAGGAGCAGAGCTCAGCTCCCAGCCCTGCTGGAAGCCCTCCTCGACAGCTGCGAGGCACCTCAGAGGCAGCTCTGTGGCTACTGAGGTAGAGAGGGATGGTGAATGTGGCCACAGGCAGCACGAAAAGTGAGAAAAACCCAAACAACCCCATCCCAGAGGGTGCAACGCACCAGAAGGGCCCTACAGAGCTGGGCCGGAGCCGAGCAACCAAACCCTGAGAGACTTAGAAAGCCCAACGACCTCCAGATGCACACAGCTCCCTTAAACACAGCCAAGAGATTCCCTGACAAAAAAAGCAAACACTCCTAATCAGCTTTCCCTTACCTTTTATACCGGAGAGCACACGGGGCTCAGGCAGCAGCCGGGCCGGGCCGCGCTGGGGGCAAACGTGAGGGCACAGAACGCTGCCCACAGAAATGGGGCAGGGGAGACGGGCCCAGGGGCGGCTCCTCAGGGCAATTAACCTCGCTCAGGGTAATTGGGGCCGGTTCCAGCCCAGGAAAGGCTCCTCAGGTGAATTAACCTCGCTCAGGGGGAATTGGAGAGGGTTCAGGCCCAGGAGCTGTTCCTCAGGATAATTAACCTCTCTCAGGGTAATTGGGGCAGCTCCTCAGGTGAATTAACCTCGCTCAAGGGGAACTGGGGAGGGTTCAGGCCCAGGAGCTGTTCCTCAGGGTAATTAACCTCTCTCAGGGGGAACTGGGGCTGGTTCCAGCCCAGATGTGGCTCCTCAGGGTAATTAACCTCGCTTAGGGCCCAAGCAGAAGCTCCCAGGTTTTCTCAGATGTTTTCTTCCCAGGCAACATCATCTTCTCGGCTGGAGCTGTGCCAGCATAATCCCATGATTGATAATGCCAAAGGCGACTCCCAAAGGCTGGAGTAGCCTTTTCTATATGGCTGGCTGCAGCCATTCATTTTCTGTGACAAATTCCACATCTTCCTCTAGTTTTTAATGTATTCAAAAATTAATTTGTAAATCAGGGCTATTCTCCCGACCATTTCTAGGGGTTGTTTTTTCTAACTTGTTTCAGTTCCCCAGGTGAAACAGTTGTGATTGCAAACTTTGTATCTGCACTCTGCAAATATATTAAAGTATATGTTTCAACAGCTGTTCAAGAGACATTGGATAGCAAGGAAGTCTGTCACCAGGAGCCTTGTGGAGATCAAATTTAGCTCACAGTCAACAAAATTATAATAAATTTAATTAGGAATTCAACGTTTTTCATAGTCTGCAGGCCACTTAACAGTACATATAGACAGCACCATTAACATTTATTTGCAAAAGGTCCCCAATTGCACCACTTCCTTAGGAAGTAACTGGATTTCTGCTACAGTGTATTTATCTTTTCTACCTTGCTTGATACATTTTGAATCCTTTAAAGTGAGAAGTAATCTATTTTCCTTCCTTGGTAAGGTTGTCCTGGTTACAGTTGGTTGAATGAGAACAATTTTTTGCTGAGTGAAGGTTCTTGGGTTTTCAGTTTCTGGGTGAGGCAACATATGCAATTAGGAGCTTTCGTGTGCCATAGCTTAATCAACCTCTCATTAATATTCTTATCATCATAATTTTACAAAAAAAGAATTCTTTTCATGTGGAATAATCTAAAGGGAAAAAAATCAGTCTCAAGACTGCATTGCAGTGTTCTCCTCTTTTCCCAGCATATTAAAAGTGTTACTAACTGTTGTAGTAACAAAAACCTTGTTACCAGCATTATTTACACTTTTGAGCAGGATGCATCACCACCCTGGACTCATAACCACCTTTAAAACCTTTGATAATTTCTGTTTCACTCTGGATTACTCCTGTCATGAAGACGATGACACTGAATAGACTGTTCCCCCTTCACAAAGCCCTTTTTGTTCCTTTTGGACTACAGAAAGAGGAGTTCCTACCCCTGTTGCTGTGTGGCAATCTCCATTGCAGTATTTCTGCATCAGAAAGAGCAGGCAGACAGAAAGGTGCCCGAGTCCCAGTGCTATGGAACATTCTGGACCCCAGACACCTGGAGACTGTCCCTGCCTCACCAGGTGCTGGTGGTGGCCTCCCCACTGCTCATCTCAGCTTGGGGCAGGCAGGCTTGGGGCTGGCTTCAGTTTCAGTGCAGACTGTTCCCTCTCCTCCAGCCCCCTTCCTCCCCCAGCCTGTCCTGCCAGCTCCAGCCCCTGCTTTTTGGCAGTTCTGTCCTGTCACCTCTCCTGCTCAAAACAGAGCCTCATTTATATAAAGTCCTAAAGAGGACTAAAACTGAAGGAGTTTGGATAAACCCCCACCCTGCTTACTCACCTCAGCCTTTAAAAGGAGGGGCAGAGATCCAGGGGAAGGAGCCAGGTCCTTCTGCAGAGATAGTACCAGGAGAGCAAGAAACAACAAGCACTGGGTCCTTCCTCCAAATATCTGCTGTCCCTTGTAGCACAAACAACTGGAACTGAATTGTGACCCCAGACCAGAGACCTTCACCTCCACCTGCGTTACTGATTCCCTGACTCAGGGACCCTCGCTTAGTGAGTGTTTGGGTCTGGGGGTTTTTGTGAGTGCAACAGGAGGTAAAGGGTTACATAACATTTGGACATGAAAAAGGCATTTCCTGACTCACAGAAAAGGAAGGAAAACCCCAGGATCCTCATAAGTAGTTAGAGATGTGGCAGGTTGCCCTCATGTTCCAAAGGAATCTAATTTTCTTTTGTGGTCCTGAAATGTATCAGCTGACATTTCTTGCTATTATGGACTTTAGTTTAGACCTATGTCTTTATTTAAGCAGTGGATAAGCCAGACACCTGCAATCTAGAAAATCATATGTCAGTATTGATTTTCTTACTGGTAATAATTCACTACCAGTAGCAGCAGTATCAATGCTGTGAAAACTACTTTCATAATGGTATTTCAACATCCTGGGACATTTTGCAATGAAAAAACCAGAAACCACAGTCATACATTTACCCACTTAAAGTGAAGACAAATTAGATTAATTAGACTAAATTTCTCTAATATAGCTTTAGTTCTAAGAATACTACACCAGCACTTTGACTCAGAAGTTCCTCTGCCAGGTGCAAAATGAAAAAAAGCACAATTTGAACAAGAGCGAGGAAAAATGTGACAAGAAAGGCAAACTTTAATTGAATATATGAGGCTGTGGCTCAAGTGAGAACACAGCTTGCTTCTGCAAAAACCACTGCCAAGAAGAGATGCTTTATGAAAACAGAAGTTTGATCTAGCACAGCCCCAAGCATGAGGTAGACTCAGGGCTGGAGTTCAAGTCTGGACTCAGCTCATGTTCAAATGCAGAAGAGCACTGCAAACCCCCTGCAAATGTCCCTGGGTAATTCCTACACCTGCAGCCAGAGCATTACTCCATCAGCACCTCCCTGGCCTGGGACATGGAGCCCCAACCTTCCTCTCTGACCAGCTGGACTCAGAACTTACCCTAGTGAAAACCACTTGAGAAAAAGTCCATGCTGTGGCAAAGGAGGTTTAGTGACCAGCTTCAACAGGGGTCCACTGTGGTTTTAGCATATGGCTTCACATTTCAGTCCTAGAAAAAGTTCAATTTGAATATTTACTGCATATTACCATTTGTTTTTTCTTTTGTAGGTTTCCCCAGAAGTTTCAGGGGATACTATTTCCTTGAAAGATCATTTTCAAGGCTGCACTAACGATCAGCAGGTTTGCTAAAGAAGCACCTTCATGTCAGAGTTGTGAGTAGCAACCTCTACTGACCCCTGCAAACAGAATACAGTGCAATCCAACGAAAAAAATAAATACATTAGTCCCAAATATTTCTTTCCAGAAGTTCCTTTACAGCTCAGTAGTGAAGATGGGCCACAAAAAGTAGGGCTGGGAAAATGAGACTGGCAGTGAAAACAGCAGAGCTATGGATGAGAGGAATGAGCTGTGGGGAAGATAATCAGTGGCATTAGTGTGAGACAAACACAGAGGATGAAAGAACAGGGAAACATGAGAAGATGGAAAAATGACAATTGCTTTTGATACAGAATACAGTCAGAGTACACTGATGAATCTGACCAAAAAAAAAAATGCAAAAGAAAAATCCCTACCATTATTTAATACTATTATGGCTTAAAGCTTGCTTAGTTTTCACTGAAATTTTCTTACCTGACCTTAACAAAGCCAGGTCCTGGGAGTTTCCTGGCAGAAGCTGGCTGATGGCAGCGGTCTGGTTTGGAATCGTGCTGCCAGTGTGCCATAAAGTGCCTCACCTAACCTGACAATTATACCCAACCCAAATGTTAGATGCTGGATTTGAGCTTGGACAGCCATATGGCCAGTGCATGGAGTCACTGCAGGGTATTGTTAATGCAGTTTGAGTGTCCAAACTATGCTCATTCACATCTTGTTGAATTACTCTGAACAGTTACAGATAATAGTAACCAACTCTGGAAATACTGGTTGCAAAGGTCATTGGCTTTTCAGTAATGGTAATGCTGTGTCTAACCACTATATTCTGAGCACACCAGCTCCATACCACATAAACATGCATCCACAGAGTGGCTCTGGTCTGGCTGCCCCCACAGGAACGTGCCAGTCTGGAAAGAAGCCCAGGAAAACACTCAGGTACAGGTTAAATTACTGATGCAGGCGTGTGTCATTGTGCCATGGTACCACTTGGACACAGTGCACAGGGGCACTCAGCATCTTATAAAATTAATCCCTTATTTATTTTAGAAGAGTCACAGGTCAAAAAACAATGAAGTAGGCAGCACAATATATCCCAAAACAAATCAGAAAACTAGTGGAGTGGTTCAGTAGAGAGCCAGTACATGCAAACATTGATTTCAGATGCAAGGACAGATGAAAATAGTTTAGAGGTAGCAGAACTTTGTTTCTACGTGATATTCCAGTAGAAACTTTAAAATATAAAATACTTCAAATGTACTGACTGCTGTTTTGGTTGTGTTCCACCTCAGCACTTGATGCTCCAGAAGACAGATGTTCCTTTAACTGGCCAGTAATGAGGAATAAAGGCAAGACACTCAGCTGAAGGTAGGAAAAGTCCTGTGTTATACGGCAACACTTAATAATAAATGCTGGAAAAGCGGCTCATAGGCAAACAAAACCAGTCAGTAAATTACTTGTTGGCTCTGAACCTATTTGTGATCTCTCCTAGCTGGACCTTTGCCTCCACATCCATCAGGAGGACCCTGGGGACAGCAGCATTTCCCAATGAAGCCACCTGCACGAGGATGGCAAGTGGCCACTCCCAGCAGCTGCCCTGGCTCTGCTCAGCGTCCTCCCCTCTACTGAACAAGAGATTTGGGGGGCACAGAGGGGGAATGGCACAACTAGGAGCATTTTACTGGCTATAGGGAAAAAAAAAGTAATAAAAAAAAAGAATTATGGAGGAACACTTCTCACAGAAAAAAACAGGGAACAGTTTCTTTAGAAAATGAAAATGAAAAGATATGAGAAGATTTATAAAGGATGAAGTGGTACCACAAGTGAAGAATGATGTAAAGAGGTTCCTCATTCCATCATCTAGGATGTTAGAATATGGGAATAACATTGCAGACAGCAGAATTTTTTGTTTTCCATTACCTTTCATTCAGATTTTAAGTTAAGAAAGATTAAAAAACCTTCAAGAGCAGTATTTTCTTTCCATGTCTACTAGAAGACACCGCAATAAATCAAACACAAGCTGTACCTCCAGAGCCCCATTATTATCAAGAATTGCCTGTTATTTCTATCATTGTCCTTCTTTTTATTTCCCTTGTGTGTTTCAGATCTATCTCCCATTAACTAGGGGGACTAAAAAGCTGAGAAGGGAGACAGCAGAAATAATGAAAAGAACGTTTTCTGCTCTGTGGCTGCCTACAGACTGTGGTACACTGGGCCTGCTCATCTGCCTGCTGCTCCTGTTGCTGCTGTCCAAACTCACTAGGCAGGATATTAAGGAACTCCTTGTTCCTGAAAATAAAATAAAATAAAATAAAATAAAATAAAATAAAATAAAATAAAATAAAATAAAATAAAATAAAATAAAATAAAATAAAATAAAATAAAATAAAATAAAATAAAATAAAATAAAATCTCACCAAAAGATCCTGCTCAGCAGAATATTCTAATTTGCACTATTTTCTTATCCCTATGAATAAATTTAATAAACCAAACAATATTGTCAGCACACGTTGATGTACTCTGAACAGTGCATATAGGGTCCTTCTGACATTGATAAAGTGAATAGCGTATGAAGAAACACAGTGTTTCTGAAACCTGCTCCAAAACACAGATATATTTGTAACATGAATTCCTGATTTAATTATCCAGAAATTCTATATCCATGAAGCCAACAACGTTTCTCTTCCACAGAATTTCTCCCTATATTGTTTTTTCTTAATATTATTTCTTCTATATATGCAAAGTAAACGTCTAGAAACAGCATTAGTTTAAAAGTTAATTTGAAAACCATGTCAGTTGTTTTACAAGTTTTCAAATTGAAATTTCAAATTACTCACCTGTAATTTCAAAAACATAACTACAAAAGTAGTATTTCAGTGCAGATAATTGTGATTCAGTATGCAGGAACAGGGCTTCACTGGGAGCATCACTGAGCTATAATCTCCACTAGAAGACAAAGCATCCAATAATAAACATTACCAAGATCCAACCAAAAGGCAGAAAGAGACTGAACCCTGGACTGCTTTAAATGATGTGTAAGAGGTATTGCTGAGACAATTTAACCATCAACAAAACCTCTCTACACGCAGGTCTAACTAAATTATCTCTATTGTCATGGCAGAGTAAATGCTGTTGAAGAAAATCATGGGAATGTGCACTCAGTAGAAGTTTGAAATGCTTACAAAAGTAATTCACATCAAAATTTCTTCCCAATGGATCTTTAAATCAATTTAAAAATATTTTTTTCCTGCTGGGATATAGCTGGCCTCAGAAAATTGTGCCACCTTCCCTTGAGAATGTCTCTTTGACAGTCTAGCAACAGGTTAAGCAGTATTGCATAGCAAGTTGTGCAGGGAAAAACCCTCACGAGAACAAAATAATAAGAATAAAACCCCCCTAGAACTGTGTAAGCACATTAGAAAAATGCAATCAGCTGTGCTTATCTCACACACAGAGAATCACAGGGAGGTGTCCATGAAGGTACAGAAATGAATGGGGCTCTGAGCAATCTGGGCTCGGGAAGGTGCTCCTGCTTATGGCAGGGCTTGGAATGAGATGAGCTTTAGGGGCCCTTCCAACCCAGTCCCAATCTGGGATTCTGTAATCAGAGCATTTTACCTACAATCTGCTCCTAGATCAGAGAAGCACAAACCCTTCAGGCCTCCAAAGAGGGAGCTGGCAGGGAGCTTGTTGCCTCAGCTCTGGGAGGCTGCCGTGCTGCGTGCCGAGAGCGCCTGCAGGATCCCGAACGAAGCACAACTTTGGTGACACTCTGGGATGTAAATGTTCTTCCCCAGACCATGCAGAGCACTGCTCTAGCCCCTGTGTATCTGCCACAAGCTGCACAGCGGTGCCACACACCCCAGGAGTGCTGTAACTGCGGTGTGGAGCAGGCAGAACACACGGGCACAGCCTGACGCTCTGGCATGGTTTGTCTGGGCACAGCCAGCCCAGCTGGAGGCTCATCCCTGGATAAAATAACATGAGTGATGGCAGGGTGAAATGGAAGCTGCATAATTAATCTGGCAGAAAAATAAAATGCCATGCAGTATGTTGGATGTATTTTAGAAAACAAAACTGCTGTCAAACCAAATTGTTGCTCTTGTGCCTCTCCTGAGAATGTGCCCTCCTATTCTGCATTGTACAGTTCTCCACAGGACAAAACCTTCTAATTTGGCAAGTTAACATAAAAACACATGAATGACATATTAAAAATGTACAAACCCAGTATCACAGCTCAAAGTGTGATGTTAGTCTTCCAGCACAAGTTCTAGCCATTGGCCCTCCTCACTATTAGGACAGTCTGCATGACAGAAATCTCCTCTTGATCACATCATCCTTTTGCTACTAAAAGAAGATAAAATTATCAGTAGCACTAGTATTAAGAATTGCCAAAGTGGGGATAGGCCCTGATATTTTAAAACCTTTGATGCTTTTGTTAATTGAATGAGAGCATTTCTCTTTTGCCACATCTGTTGTGTTCTCCCACCTGCACACTGCTCACAGCTTTCACTGAGCGATCCCACCTCACAATAAAATATTAGCTCAATAAATCAAATAAAATAAGCAAGTACCCAAACCTGAGAATATCAGCCAGAAACTGGCTGTCAAAATGACTCTCCCCCTCTGGCAGCAGGGTGTTGTTATAAATTTTCAGGTGGCTCCATTCAGTGACACTGGTTATGTTAATTTAACCTCTGCTCTCGTTAATTTATTCTCGCTTCCTCTTTGCTCCCTTAATTGCAGGTCTTAGGTTACCCATATCTAAATATGGATGCTAAATCTGAACCACAGTGCCTGTACAAATTGCAGGCCACATGGCTCCTCAAGCTGCCTGAGAAAGTATCCTGGGAAAAATATGAGAAGGAATTAAAACAATTCTCAGGGACACTAAACGGCCTTGCAGGTGTTGTTTTGCAGCCTCCTGTTTCTCCTTGCAGGAGGGAGTCAGAGGGGTTGTGTGCCACTGACCAATGATGGTAATGTAGCACTTTGCTAACCAATAAGAGTTTCTTTTCTGTACTTTCCACGTATCTGTCTATAAGACAGGGCTGAACCAATAAACTAAGGAATTCTCCTGTTGTGACTCCCTTGAGAGTCCCGTGTCATTCTTTCTAGCCATTCCCAATCAGAACGACATCTAAAAACAAAGAGAAAAACAATAACAAGTCAAAAAAATGAAAGGAGGCATTGGCAGTGCTTCTCTGTACTTACCCTTAATCCTCCTTCTTCAGAGGGATAAAACATCCTTGTTCAGTAGCTGGCATCCATGTTAATTGTATTTTTTGAAACCTAATTTCAAAATACACAGAAATTAGTTATTCTCTCTGTGTATTACAGATCTAAAGATCCAAGCCCTGGGCTGCTCCAGAGATTAAAGCTGATCTACCACACTCTGCCAGGCTGGCAACATTTAAAGTCAGCAAGTACAAGGCCTGGAAGCAGCAGCACTTGAGATTTCAAAGTTCTATCACTTTCTGTAATTCTAACTAGTTCCATTTAATTCATGTGCAGTTACCACCAAAATCTTTTAGGAGATTATTTTAGGATTTAGGTTCTTTCAGAAGATTTATTTATTCAGACTGTTACATTTTTTATTTTGGAAATACAGAACAATCAATATTTGAATGCCTAACTAATGTCTACTTTCACTTGACCTATGGATTTGCTCTAATGGGACTTTTGACACAAATATTTTAGTTTAGGGTTGTTTAATGTCTGCAGGAATTTTTACTTCAATTAGTCTGTCTTAGTAAGTTCCAATTTCTTGATTAATTAAGGAAGCCGTATTGTTAGAACAATAAATATATAAAAACAAAAAATACAATTCAAGCATACAAAAAATAAAAGCAATTCTATATAATTCCAGTACTTCAGATAGGATTGTTATTTTTCAATTCTTCTCTACAAATGAAAGTAAAAAAGAGTAAATATCTCCCCTTTTACAAAGACATGGGTGGGATATCTTTATCCATATATTTTTAATATATGTTAAACATTTATCTTTATGTTTAATATGTTAAATACATATTGTTTAAGTTCATGGTCGGAAGGAAGAGGCTGAGGGAAGTGAAACTACATTTCCCATCAGCAGTCTGTGGAATAGAACAATAAGCACATATTGTCACAGGCTCTTTCTGAATGCACACCTTGGGCCCAACACTCAGAGGCCACACAGAGCCTCTGGCACAAACACAACAGAAATGGCTTTTTCATACATTTTCCTGGCTCCGGGACTCTCTGCATTTATTCTCTTAGAAGTTTGGCAGCAGAAAAACAATGCCCAGTCAGACTCAGCTTGGACAACACTGCTCAAGTCTGGGACCAAGAGTGATAGTGACCATACTGGTATGTTCCCTCCTGCTCAAAAAAGAAATCTTGGAGCTGTTTTGGGGTTTGAATGGCACCTGTTCCAAACAGACAAGCACAACCATTTGTTTGGCTCATTCGTGGAGGGACTGTGGGGAATCTTCCACTCCTCTGAGTGAAAAACACTTACCAAGCAACATCTGAGCCCTGAGAACAGCACAGAACAAAGGCTGATTCAGATGCTTCACAAAACCTTCAAGAGCTGGCTTTTCTAGTAGTAAGAGACAAGAAGATTTTTATGAGCCCTGAAATGAGGGAACAAACAGGGATGCCACATTCCTCTCTTTGAGTTCCTTGCTGCTTTCTGTTGAGATATGAGCCCTTTTTGTGAGCTGGTGAGACTGAGACCTGCTCGAAAGAACACAGGTGGCATTAACTCGATAACCTCAAACAGATGGAGACACTTCTTGCAGTTCAGAGGTGAACTCAGTCCCATCCTATGTACCCACCACATTCCTAAACAAAACTCATGCTGTGTCAAAGACCAAGCTTTGCCCTCTAACACCAAGCCCTGGATTAGCACAAAGGCAGGAGGAAGGAAACTGTTTTCAGCTGCTACTACCAGCATGTTCATGTGACCAGTGCTTAATTAGGTTGTGCCACACTCCAATCTGACACTTCATTAACTAAGAATGTTACCTGGTTTTCTACTGGAAAGCCCAAAAAGCTTTCCATGTCTGAAAAAAGAACTTTATCATT